TGTCCATCTTCGCCACCAAATGCCTAGCAGCTGGGGGAGACGAGATACTCGTGAGTGACACCTCTTATAGAGTTTGTTTCCTTCGATTACAAGATGTCACGCAATTAAGGCTGTGGTTCATTGCCACGCGCCCTGATGAACGCGAAGATGTCCTTCAAGATGTCCTATATGTAAATTCTTGTATAGTTGCTCGCCCATCTAACCTCGAGACTCATATGGAACCCTTGCCCATAGTCAGAAATATTACAACGAATTGGTCTTATGTGTGTGTTGGTAGTGGTTGCACATACAACATGCTAAACTGTTCCTCCACATTACAAACTTTATTGTCCGCTATACATATCAACACCACCGACGTAAATGGCACATGGTAGGTAGGACAACTTAAATTCACTCTAAGAAATTTTAACCAAGCGCAAAAAACCCTATTGATAACAACTAAGACAGCAAACAGTATTCGCATGTTAACCTCTATCCTTTACGGTTTGCATCACCTGTGTTTAAACTCCTCGACCACCCTGAAACAAGGCCCCAGTTTATTTGCCGATGTTTCCGATCCCTCTACTATTATCCTCTTAACCCTTACCATCTCACACCTAATTAATTTTATGTTACTTAAACTGTTTCTTAACGGTACGAGGGGTGCGTACACGTGCCAACTTAATAGTGAAAATATCACCTTAGACGAGTCATTCCTGCCTCCCAGCTGGTTGTGGCTCAACCTTAATTCATCTACCTCGACTCGAAACTTAAGCCCGCGCCTGAATCAGACATATACAATAGTGGCCTCCTTTTCAGGCGGCAGTGGTATTGAGGTTTATAATTATTCTCGCAGGTTGTTGTCCACCCCGTCATGAAAGAAACGCTCTCTTACTAATGAACAAATTGATGAGGCATACAAATTAATGGACAAGTGGGACAAATTCGGCCTATGGTTTCCTATGTCCGGGTCTCAACAAAATTCACATAAAATTGTTTTATTAACAGAATCCATTGAAAAACTTGCTAACATGACAAAATTAGGGTTCGAACAGGTACAAACGGCTATTCAAGATCTCCAAAGCGCTGTATATTATAACTGCTTAGGCCTCGATTACTTATCAGCAACAGAAGGAGGCCTTTGCGCAGCAACTGGCAATCACACATGCTGTTGCTTAAATTTTAACACGTCATCCTTTAACTTAACTAATGTTATCCAAGGTATCCAGGATGCGAAAAGTCTTATAGAGTGGAAAAATTATGATCAAGAAGACTGGTTTGATTGGACCTTTGGTTGGCTAAATTGGTTAAAACTTGGTTAGCTAAAAAAGTTTGTAATTAGTGGATTATTGTTAGTGTTGGGATGCTGTATTTGTATGTGTGTTACATGTTGTTTGTTTCAATGGTTAAAGAAAAAAGTAATACACCTTTCTGCTTTTGTATACACTTGCTTGCTTCAGGTACCAGGAGACGAACTGCTCAATTGGGAAACAGATGTGTTGTAAGTGTGCTTATGCACGATGGCAAGGGGGCATGTAAGAAGCCAGTCCATTGTTGTGCCACTGCGCCTGCACACCACACCCACATACTGTCCCGTATGTAGTATCCTTATGTGTCAGCATATCGCCGCCTACGGCCCTATTGGCCAATGGGCACGTGTGGCCAGCATGGAATCATCGCGCGATTTCAAGTAATTGAGCGCACCAGTAACTCCCACACTTTTTAACTGCCTCACTGTTCAAATCAGGCCATGAATAGAATGCCTGAAGCTGACTGGGTGAAAGCGCACCTCAGGGTTGCGATGAGTTCCCTGCCTGCCTTTATAAGTCCCCTTTGCAACCCGCTTGGGGAAGCAACAAAGTGTAGCTGCACCACCTAAGTATAGTTACCTTTTTTATATTTTTCTGGGCCATGTTTGCTCCTTAAGGGTGTATTGTCTTTTTTCAATGATTTACATTGTCTGAACTATAGAGGATGATAAGCATTTTCTGTTCAATAGTGTAGTTAATACTCAGCCCCAAGGGTAACCAAGCAGTGAAACATTTTACTACTTAGTGGCCATGTTTACATGAGATGCTACGGTGACATAGCTTGCTGCTATAACTATGTAGCATCAGCGGGCACAAGCCATGATGCTGATGCTATGTTGCTGTAGCAACGAGCTACCTCATAGCATGTCACCACAAAGATGTAGCTGCTAATAACACCTGTGCACTTCCAGGATGGCTCAGTAACAGCTGTTACTGTGCCATCATTTAGTACTTCCTAAGCAAGTACTAAATGATGGTACAGTAACAACTGTGCCATGGGGGGCACATTTAGACATGCCTCTGGTGTCTTTTCAACAATCAGCAGCACTATGACTATTTCATAGTAAATCTACATCAGCACTTGGTCCTCAGGGAACTGAACATTCACTCAAAGGAGAAAAAGCTAGTATGGGCACTGTCCAGCTTCTTTTGGACGGAACAACAGAAAGGGGAGAAAATTTTACTACTGTAAGAAACTCAGAAACAGAAATCAGTGATGATGCAACATGAAAATAACCCCCTTTACTTCCTCTTCTTTTTCCTAAAGTGACATAAAATAAGTAGTAACCTTTCCAGAAAGTTATTGAATGTTCTTCTATTTACAATTTCTCATCGCTTAGAGGCAGATCTTTTCCAGTCTCTGCAATTGTAACAAAAGTCATGTGGTAGCAGCTTTGAAGTTCTGCTGTACAAGATGGATGTGACTGGTTGGTTCTGAAGAGGCCACAACAGTGATGTGCCTTGGAGTCTTAGTCCATAAATCTCCTTTACACAACATTTCACAAAGCATATGTATGGTCAGAAATACTGGAGCTGCCCAAAACTTTTGTTCTCTGCATATAGTGGGGGGAAGCAGAAATAACAACTATCAATCTCTTGGACAGCATTTTTCAGCAGTGGATCTTGAAGTGCTTTACAAGAAATATCCTTATCACTATGCTCACATGACAGCTCAGTAACTGAGAAACAGAAAGTTTAAAATGACTTGCCCAGAGTCACTCAATGGGTAAGTGGCAGAACAAGGGCTACATCCTAGGTGCCCAGGGTATCAGTCCTGTGATCTATTCAGTACACGAAACTGCCTCTCCTAGAAAGTCATTTGGAACAACTCTATTTTCCAACATGACTAGCAGCAAAAGTAATGGCTACCAGACCATCTGGGAAATTTCCTCTTGTGCACCATATAACAAGAAGCAGGTAGTTCTGATACCAGCAGACTCAACTCCAGATATGAAGAATGTGTTAGAAACAGTGGAAAAAATGTTCAGCAAGTATTCCATCCTCAAGGGGAAGCAAATGAGAAAAGCATGTTGTGGTACTTGTGAAAGGCCTAACTCACCCTGATATACTTGGAAAACAGCTGAAAAAGTTGTGCATTTTGAGTGTTTTAAAAAGGGATGTAATGATATGGATATCTTCAAGAGTTTATATGAAGTGGAAAACACCATAAAAGAAGTGATATGCACTTTAGTCATGTTTACAGAGCTTGTGACGTGGTAAAAGTAGTGCCAGGAAAGAAGTACTAAGGCTTGGGGGCCATATCCAACTGAAGAATAACTTGATAAAGTTATAACCAGAACTCAGCAAATATATAAGACCTGCACAGCACTGAAAGTATATGGAACTGGTGGGAAATAAAAGCAAAGTGATCTGATTTCACGTTTTGTCCAGACAAACTCCTGGAAAGTGTTTGGTCCCACATCAGGCTGGAAAGTGCTGCACTTCATGGAGATTTGCAGGAAGACTTCTGTTGCTGAAGTCATGAAAAGTGAGTCACTTCCACAGGCATAGCTGTCATGAACACTTAGATAAGAGGCACTTTCTCATTATACTGATGAGGGCTATATCAAATATGGCTGTGCGAAATTTCACTGCCTGTTTCATTTTGACAGTTTCAACTCATTTTGAGCTTGAAACAGCAAAATCAAAATGAAGCAAAGGGGTTCAAAACAGGCTCAAAATGAAACAAGGGCAGTTGAAACATTTCAAAAGTTTTGAAATGTTTTGACTTTTGAAGTTCAAGCTGGGCTTGCCTGCAGGGAAACAAAGTAAGGAGAGAATGGGGAAAGAGGGAAGAAGGACCGTTCTCATATTGACGAAGGAACTGGCCTGTGACTGTCATCATTCCCTGAGGTCTCTTCTAATCCCAGTGCTCTGGGGGAGGAATGGAAAAACAGCATAAAAGGCAGCATTGTTTGAACTGGCCTGCTTAATGTCTTGGAATCTGACAGTTACTGAGCTATCTTCCAGCAGCTCAGGAACATTAGACAATGAAGGCTACTACTACCATTGATTTGATTGGTTTCCTACTTGCTAGCCTAGCAAGTGGGATTCCACAATACCTTTTGCTTTCTTCTAGACCCTTTTATTTTATTACTATATTCATTCATTTATTCTTTTAAATTTTATAATTATATTGGATATTACATTATAGAATTTATATACGAAGGGAGATGCATTTATATTTTCTTTCTATACATTTATAACTTGTAGCATATACATAAATTATAGAATTTACATAGGAAGGGAGATACATTTATACCCCACAGCATATGCTACATACCTTATAGAATTTATCTAGGAATGCAGATACATTTATATATTTGTATAAAAATAAGACAGTATGAAACACAAGATGAAGCATGGTGGGAAGGCAGCTGGCAAGCCTTTAGGAAGGGGCAGAATAAGGTGTAGAAGGAGAGGTGTAAGTGACACCACCCCCCAAACTGAGATGCAGGCTCTTTCCTACAACTAGCAGGGATGAGACTTCCACAACCAGCAAGGAGAGGGGAGCAGTGCCAGTGCCACTGCCTGTGCACGAGACTGCATCCCCTCCAAGGGCACCAGCCATAACGCGCCCCCCACCACCATGACAACAAGCAGCAGCACCAGCATGACAATCTTCTCCACCCCCATTTCACTTCCCATGCTGAGCCTTCCAGTGCCAGAGGAAGAGCGGGATCTGGATCTCAGTGCCCTAGAAAGGGAAATTTTGGGGAGGCAGAGGGAATCATCTGAGTTTGTGCTCCACACCCCTCAAGCTTCCCCTAGAGCCAGGTCTTCTTCCCCAGAAGCCACTTCAGAGGAGGTGGAGGTAGAAGTTGTGAAGGCAAGCAGCTCAGCTGAGTCCACTCCTCCTCTTACTGTGCTTCTGCCTGCTGAGGAGGGGGAAAGTACGGCAGCATCCACACATGCAACTGCACCCCAGAAGCGAGTGGGTAGTGTAGTCTGGGCTCATTTTGAGCTGGCAGATGATCCCACATATGCTCTCTGCTTGCACTGCTGAGCCAAAATCATCCAGGGCAAGGGAAGAAAATACATGAGCACCACAGAAATGCTGATGCATCTCTGTAGGCACCACCCCCTTGCCCTTGTTCCTCCTCAGTCTGGCACCAGCGGGAGCATGCCCAAAGGGAAACTCCCCTTTCACTCCAGGGCACCGCCCCCCAAAGCAGAGGCAGGCCACCCTGGAACAGTGGGGGAAAGGTGCACTTGTGATGGTACTTGTGTTTACAAGCATTAACTTACAGCAGAGTTAATTAGTTTACTGCAGTCTATTAGGGTGGCACATGTACATGCTGAGACTTTATTGCAGCTAATTGATCAACTCAATATCTTGTGTACATGTGCCCACTGTCTGTCTATCTGTACTCCCTTATCTCTAATAAAGAGATAAGCATTTACCTTTTCTCTTACTTCCTTACTCCTTCCTGCAACACCAAATAATTAAGGGCCTTGCTACACATTCATTTTAGGCAGTTTCTGAAGCTCTTAACCCCTAGATTGTCAACACAAAAATACCTGAACCCATTTTAAGCACCATTTAGGTGGCTTCAAGTCCTCTAGCATTTCAGGATGCAGTGCCCCTTCCCCTTTCTTTCTGTTCTGTGTGGACAGACTTCTACTGCCCAGTGGGCAGTCATGCCACTAAGTCAACACTCCCTTCTTCCCCAGGGGTGTGTCCTTCCCGCCTCAGGAGTGTAAACCTGTGTAAACAGCCTGCAGAACACATGCCAACTAGCCAGGTCACAGGGCACAGACAGTTCCAGGAGTAGAAATTAGGAATAGTTGTGGGGAACAAGGTAGGGGGACATATAGGGTCCCTATTTGCTGGGGCTTCCCTCCTCCCCCAAAAGCACCTTTCCTCACCACTCCCACCTCCCAGCCACCCTGGCAAGCACAACCCACACCACCATACCACAATTCCAAATCCTAATTTATTAAAACATGAGACCTTCTTTAATTTACTTGCTATTTATTTATTTTTAAATTTGTTTTTACTTCTTTTTATTTCATTCTTCAGTGGCTTACTTTCTTCATTTCACCCTCCTCCTCCTCCCACCCCCCATTTCCTTTCCACCTCCCATTTTATTACCTACCCCCATCCCAT